TTTTCAGGCGCCTCGGAGGGTTCGGATTGGGCCAAATCGGAAACATAAGGAACATTATGGATGATTTTATTTGTGACAAAGGAGCGTTAAGGATTTCACGAAGGATTTTGGATTGTAAGGAAAAAAATCTAAATACATACCTATACTTACTTACCTATATATGGTATAGCTAAAAAAACACACCTACATAAACTTCTAACTTTCCAATCGAAAATATTACGACTTATAACTAAAGCACCTTTGTAGGTGACAAACAAAACCATACATACCTACTTCCTCCTGCCTACAGGTGACCAACACATAAGAACTCTTTACAAACGATTTCACAATAATTTACACGGACATACAAACCTACTAATCAGAGTATGTACTGGATTTGGCTTCAGCTGACATGCTCAGGAGGACACTAAAAGGCGCTGGATGAGAGACCTTCTTCATTGACAAACCATGGTATTTGATTCAAGTCAGGGAAGAGGTACTGCTGGATGCTATCCTTCCTCATGCCTGACATGTGTGTTTCATTACTTTAATCAGACCATCTGCTGATTGTCAACAGTCGTCAAGAAGTGCAGATTGATATTAAAAGTAACGAAAAAAAAAAAAAAAATCTGTCTCAGAAGAAAGTTCAAAATTTATTTAACTTTAACCACGGAACTTTTTCGGTATAGTATACAATCTGTAGAAATAAAATACACTTTTCTATTCATAAAAAGAAAAACATTTTCGTCATTTACTACTGCTTTACTTGTAATAATATTTTATGTTATACCTTGATTTTCGACATACGCACGCCATATGAGTTAATCCTAAAGCCTGAATTTAAGGATTTATTTTTATTAGTTTAAGTTTCTTATTGTTTATACATAATTATTTTTAGTATTATTATTTTGCTGTTGTTCTATTTAATTTATTTTTATTTTTTGTAGATACGGTGTGAATGAACTCCTGTATCATTTTTATTCATGTCCTAGTGATAAAATGTAAAATTCTTCAATAAATAAATGTTTTTAGTTATGAAAATAATCGTGCACGGTGATCATACTAATTCTATTCTGCGTATTTTTCTGGTCTATTCATTATGATGTCTCCTTTTGGTAACACAGTTCATTGTTTACTTGAATAAATGTGTTTTTTTTTAATTACCTCTTTCTTACCATTTCTGATATACGTGTTGTTGCTCTAGAGGTACAATATTCTAACCGGAGTGGGGTCGAGAAATTCATTCCGTGTATCCGCCGCAAAATGAATTGAAACCCACATAGACCGAATTCGAACCCGGGTCGTTTACGCTTAAACACGCTCGGTCATCACGATCTCAGATTAGTGTCTGTTATCCCAGCATCTTATTCTGTTGAGATTTAAAAAAAAAAATTACGATAACTATATTATTTATATTTTTATCAGTTTTAAATTATGATTAGTGATTATATTTCTTTATGTTATCGGTATTGGTGAAAGTTTATGATCTTAATCAATTATAAAACGTTGTTCGTTAAATAGCAACTGTCCATATGGCGAAAGGATGTACCGTTTAAAAAAAAATCATATCATAAATCATTTAACATTTAAAGGCGAAATTATGTAGGAAAACGTATTAAAACAAGGAAATGGCTCGGAAACGGAACAAAAATTGATAAAGACGTTTAAGTCAGTTTTAAATGTCGTTATCATTCATTCAATTTGTTAAACCGATGGACTTCAAAAGACTCACGAAAAAATGAAGGGAGGCAGTTTAGTGTTTCCTGTATTCTGTTTTCTTTATTTTTATTTATTTTGGACTTATTATTATTTTGTTATTTTTCTGTATTTTGTAATTTTCATTCTGCTTTCGTATTGTGTCATTCTTTACCATATAATGTAGAAAAGAAATAAAAAGCATTATAAATTGGAAACTGAAATTGGAAAATTTAATTTAAGCATTTCTGTTATTATTATATATTTACGACGCTGCGAAACACTATTACAGTAGAGTGTATTAAGATATTACCATAAAAAAAATAAATATATATATATATATATATATGAAAGATATTCCATCAATTATATTATTCCCGTGGTTCTATAAAAAATAATTAAACGTTGCTAATACCGTCTTGTTTTAGTGTTATAAGAACTATGGTGTACCAGATACTAGAAATTAAAATATAATTATATATTTTTTAACAATTTTCTTGAGTAATACTTTAAAATTATTGTCTCCCTCTTTTACATTGAGAAGCAAACATTCGATGGAAAATATTGGTTATTTTACTCACCTATTAAATTTTAAAACATGTAATTTATTTTTTAATTGTTTAAATACTGAGCAGTAGCCCCTCTTGATTAATAGAAAATATAATGATATATATGTTATTATTTATTAAATATGTAATTATGTTTTCATATGAGTTTATGAAAAGTTTCAAAGTAAATAGGAAGGGGTAAAATTATTAATATCCCCCTCATGTTGCTTAATTATTTCTGACTCGTACATATTTATTTGCCAACTTAAAAGAACTTTTTTTTTCAATATCATTTCAATTCAACAAAATATTACCAAAGAAAATTACTAAAACATATTTACTAAATATTGCGTTATTAATTACTAAAATACTCATTTCATATATCCAATTTTATATCTACACAAGCGTTGATTGTGCATTTGAAACTGTATCAAATTCTGTTATCGTGATATTTCGTTGCTTTGCTGAACCCCAAGGACATTATTTGGGCATGGGAAGAGTAGTATCACATCCTCCCAGAAAAATATATGCTGGGGAAATTTAAAATTTGAGAACATATTTTAACTAAGAAAATGTTTGAAAAACATTGGATTCTCTGTTCTGTGAAAAACACAACCTCGTCCGACCTCCATTGGCCTTTAATACCAGTCGAAAAGTAAGTAGAGCTTTTTTGATAGCTTTTTTTCATCCTAAAAACAATGAAACTACTCTCAAGTTTGAATTTTAATAAACATTTTTAGTTTAATTTCAATCGAAAAAAATATCTCAAAAATAAGAGTTATATTTTATTTAAAGTCCATCACTGAACAATAATTAATGAAATCCAAATTTTTGTCAAATAAATCAAGTGTTATTCCAGATACAACTCAAAACATGGTTTTTAATTTAAAATAATGACAATCTAATGATGGTTTGATTTTTCTTCAATTAAAAATAATTCTCAAATTTAATCCCTGCGGAAATCAAAACTTTTGAATTTATATTTATATTTTTACTCGATGTTTTTTTTTTTATTACTTGTTTATTGATAAATATTACAACAATCTGTCTCAATAAAGGACACTTATGATAGAGTTCAGAGAGCACATTCACACCATATTTATAAAATGAAAAAATAAATAAGGTAATTTCAAAGTAATATACAGCGAAATAAGAACAAAATAAAACATCATTATGAAGGAAGAAAATATAATTAATAGTCATAATAAAATTCAAATAAATAAATAAAATAGAATTAATATTTTCTTTTTAAAAAAGTAATAAAAATAAACATCTTAGACGCAGGCATACCTATTTACACTATTTAAAATCGATCATGGAAACTCCGAACTAGACTTGTTCCTCCCACTTGTGGAGGGTAAAGCGAGGTTTCAGGAGATTCCTGCGCTTCTCTCTCAACCACTTCACTGGTATTAAAAGTCAGCGGAGGCTGAATAAGGATGCTACAACCACAGACATTCATGACTTGAGTGTAGAATCTGGTCACTGCCAGAACTCCAATATATACATGAGGTATAACTTTTAAATCCCTAAAATATATTTATTTACTTCAAACTCCCTTGTCTTTCGACGATATGGCGTTAAAATTTATTGTATAAGAACAATCAAATTTAATAATTTTTCCTATATTTCTATCCTGGACTAAAATTGAGGGAGTTCCTGTCTCCTTCACTTACTCCCATATGGAATTCGAATCTTTGAATATGAGAACCACGATTTCGATTAATGTAAAAATGCTCTGATGATGAAAAAATATGTGAAAATTCGGCTTTAACAGTAAATGATTCTTTGTTTACAATAATGTTTTGATAAAATGAAAATGGTTATGAAACTTGGAAACAGTATATAATCTAGAGTAAACTGAAATAACTATGATGTAAGCTGTATGAATGAATGAATGAAAATTCTGTATTTTGTATTTAATATATACAATTACAGGAGGTCTGGCTCTATTAAATACATTATTCCATAAAAAGAATCAAAATAAAGTACTATACAAATAAAGAAATAAATCAGAGAAATATTCTTTTTTCATAAATAAGATGAACTAGATATATAAATTATGATGTAAAAAAAAAAAAAACAGAAAAGTAAAAACAACTGTATAACAATATAAATAAAAAGTATTGACTTTGATGATATATAAATTGTGATGTAAAAAAACAGAAAAGGAAAAACAACTGTATAACAATATAAATAAAAAGTATTGACTTTGAAGATATATATAAAAAAATCAAATAAATATACATTGAAGGAATTTTACAAATAGCAATAATATATTCCTGAAATACAATATAGGAGATTGCAACAATATATATGCTCACTTCTTAGTCGAAGATAACAATGTCTTGTGGTAAACATAAACATAAACATAAATATTGCTGGCATTTAATCGTTCATAATGAATGACCATATTTTAAGACTCCCTACTATAAAATAAAATATATCATTTAACTTTGCGAGGTTTTGTATCGTTAACAAATTACCGAGCATTGAATTGTTGTCTTCTGCAATATATTTCTCTATGCAATGTTCCCTCCAGTCTTTATACATCGGACATTCTATTTAAAAATGATATAAATTTTCTGGCTTTTGGAGGTTGCATATAGTACACTTTTCTTCTCCTTTTAGTGTATAGGCCGTTCCATTAACATTAAATGAAGGTTTCGTTAAATTGGCTATATATGTAAGCTATACATAAACATAAATAAAACTTATTTTAGAAAAAAAGTAGAATAAATGTTTATATATATTTTATTTTTCTATTTTTTTTTTCAGAATGAAGGCGTATGGTTTCCACAATACAGGGCCAGGGACGACGATTACGTGACAGACATTTATTCCTGCCACACGATATACGAAAAGGTTTATCTCGACGATGATGGAAAACCATGGTTAGAAACTTCATCGTATTATTCGAAGTAATGCTTTAATTTTAATATATTTAGAAGTTATTACTAAAATTTATTTTATAAAAAAATAAATAATCTGGAGCATCTAGTAAAAATACAGCAATATCGATGCAGTGCTCGAGTATATTATATTTTTATTAATATTATAATAATGAACTGACCAGGATCGGCAATGGAAATATATACTATAAACATAAATATTTTATATAGAGAAAAAAAAGTTAGTTCGAAGTAATTTTACAAAATTGAGGGAATTATTTTTATTTGATCTAAAAACCAAACAATCTCTAGATTTTGATATTTATAATTTAAAAACCTTCTGAGTTATGTCTGGAATAACTCCGATTTATTTGACAACAGATTCAACTCCATTAATTAATTTTGAGTAATACAATTTAAATAAAATATAACTATTATTTTCGATATATTTTTTTCGATCGAAATAAATCTCAAAATTCAGATTAAAATTTAAACAAGTAAATTCTCTATATTCAGCATGAAACCTATCAAAAATTGGCCCTTTAACCATTTTTTTTTTTGTTTTGTTTGGTAATTTAATTACCTTTCAAAAGTTTTATTATAAATTTTACCATAGAACATATACTTAGCGAGTTATGCCCCAAAACATTTTTCTTTTCTTTACAACTTTTTTTCCTGAATTTTCTCGGAAATTTAATCCATATTGAATCCAAAATTGAAAGGACAATTATTAGAACATTATAGTAAAGTTTCATCAAAATCGTTAGAGCCGTTTTTTCGCTACAGTCTATAGAAAAACGTGTTTCTCATTTATTGCGCATGGAGCATCCAGTTTGTGTCACACGCATCAGTAGTCAAACCCCTACAAAATCAAAAAACAAGCAACAAAATTGGTTTAATAGTTCTCGAGAAAATCTTGGAACAGACATACAAAACAATGGCTAAAATGTTTTTTTTTTTCGAAATTGGGGATCTATGAAACGTATAGATCCGTCAAAAGCCGCATGTCGGATATTTGACCCTATCGCAATACTTTCCTTACCTTAAGTATAGGTAGGGAAGTAATAAATTATAAATAATTATTATAAAAAGGATGAAGAGCTGAAAATTTCTCTAGCTTGCAGTATGAAGATCCGATTTTCAGTTTCTGCAATATTTTAATCCATATCTTCAATAAAACTCGTTTTCATTTGGTTTTTAACGCCATTTTTCCCTTTTCGTCTCTCCAGCACGGATTTCCGTTAAGATACAATTTTGAATAGTATCTCATTACAAAGAGGATGAAATGATGAATATTTTCCTAGCTAACAGTACACAGGTCGGAGTTTTTGAGATATTTTAATCCATATGCAAAAACACTGCAATTAGTCGACTCCAGCTTACCCGAGCGTTACTCATCGGAGATCTGACGACTCAATCTAACTCACTCTCCACAAAAAAAGGGCAAAACGCGCCTAAAGAAGTTTTCACTTTAAAAAATAAAATGTTATAATTGAGCAAAAAAAATTCTCAGATTCAAGCATTGTTTAGAATTATCATATTTTTCATATAATACCACATATGTAACATACATGCTTCATACAGTAACAGATTCTGAAACAGTGGGAAGATTGAATGGAAGCAAAGCCCATTCCATTTTGCAGAGTCCCTCTATAACAATCCGAGTTTGAAGGCAACCGCAGCCTACGGCCTAAGGCAAGATCCCATGCGGCCAGATCATTATCAAACAGCCGTCGGTGGGAAACGTTACCACTCTAAGGCACACCATGGGCTCCAATTGGATGTACCTTATTCCCAACCTCAATTCTCACTAAATATTTACTTTAAATTTCTATTGAGATGACAGAAGTACTCTTTTGGAAACATTATGGATATTTTTAAATTTATGGATTTCTTTAAATATATTCTTATTCGTTCGTTAACCTTCCTTCATGGCTATCAACCAATCACTTCTTAAATATTTTTTTTTAAATATTTCATATAAGGTTTTATAATAATTAGACTAAAAAATTGTCTGTTTTTTTTTAAATCGAAGTTACTATTCCGTGCTACAGACCCCTTTTTATCAAATTATTAACATACTTCTAAAACTTCGTGACTGGTTTCATGTTATCGTAACCTACAAATATTTTATTTACGAAAAATATCGGAATTGGGCCGTTTTCTTTCTGGAGATCGGTAAACTTTATCTATTTAATTAAGTACTAAAAACTCGTAAATACTCATTTAATTTCCACTTAAATCGTAAGATTATTTGCTCACAAAATTGAGAGAAAATGTGGCCTACAATAATATTGGGCCGTTGTGCCATGACCTATCCGCCCAACAATTCAAAACAACAAGGTTATACTGGCCAAAAGGTCCAATCTTCTTCTCGATTTTGTGATAAAATTATCTTGTGATCCAAGTGGAAAGCAAATGATTATTTACGAGTTTTTATTACATAATTAAATAGACAAAGTTTGCCGATCTCTAGATACAAAACGGCCCAATTCCAAGAGTTTTCGTAAATAAAATATTTGTAGGTCACAATGAGATGAATCTATGAAGTTACGCCTGAAACTGTTAATAATTTGAAAAAAAAAAGGTTCTATAACACGGACTATACAATTATGTAATTTACATTTTTTTTATTCATTTTTAGAGCAGTGAATTTATTTTTAGGTGTCATAAATTATTTTGTTCTCGAGTACGATTTAATCACCAATTTCTTTATTTATTTTATAATTTTAAAGACGATGTTTTGGCCAGCACTATAGCCATTATCAAAGTCTGATTTTGTAGTTCATTGACAACCCACATGTAAATATTTATCAGAAATTGTTTAAGTAAAGAACAATTATGTCTTGTTATTTAGAAAAATAACAATTTGTTGGGTCTACCATTGCCTTTTTAGGTTTTCATGGAGAGGCAGATCCCGAGTTTGAAGGCCACCCCAACCTATTGCCTATACTGGTAATAATAAACTGGTAATAAACACTCGTTTTTGAAAAAAAAAAAAATAAAAAAAATCAGCCCTCCTTTGTAACCTGTTATTATGTCTCAGGATAATTAAAATTAAAATATCAAAAAAAAAAAAAATACTCCGTTGGCCTCTCTGTGAGGGCATTTCTAGTGCTGGCCGACACATCGTCCTTAAAATTATGAAAGAAATAAAGAAATTTTTGATCAAATCGTGCTTATAAACAAAATAATTTATGGTATCTAAAAAAAAATTAACTGTTCTGAAAATCAATAAGAACTATAAAAACTTTATGAATCCCACGATGATGAAATCGTAAAAACTCTCTTTTGATGATAAATCTGTATTTCAATAACAAAGCAATAGCTCACACATACCTCAATGTAGGTAGCGACAACCTGATTGAAGAAATAATAAAACTAATTAAAATATGTATGATTATAAGAAATTTTAATCCCTAATGTAAGAATGACAAATATAGCTGTAACTCTGTTTTAAATTGTTATTAATAAGGAAAGGGCGGGAAGTTTAGAACTGGTCAACAATCCATTCCCGCCAAGTTCAACTTTCGGAACCAGGCCCAAAGTTCGGAATTAATCTCAGAAATCAGAAGTCAAGAGGGAACTGAGTTTTCGCGATCGTAATATGTTTTACGAAAGTTGTCGAGTTTCATGCAATTGTTACAAGATTTAAAAGCGACTTGAAAAATATATTAGTACTTTATTAAATTTTTAATGAATGTTCGCATTTATACAAAGGCATTATAATCCTAATTAGTAATTGAAAAGTGGAAACTATAGTAACAGGAATTCAAAGCAAAAATGTCATTTTTATATGGCCAATTGGTTTGTTGACACTACTAAAATACACTGTTGGTGGGTTTTAGTAATGTTCCGAACATTTCTGAAGACGGTAACTAACTTAATTGAATACAGGGTGTCCCGTAATTATAGGGAAATATTTAAATATGATAGTATCATCAATCTATAAAAATACAACATCAAGATCTACAAAAAAGTGCATATAAAAAATGCTCTATTTTCAGCAGAACAGTAGGAACTGTAAGATTTGTGTTGTTTTAAGCAAGTCACGTTTTTTGTAGAATAGGAAACAATAACATAAAAAATATTTGATTTAAGTAACAAAACATTGCTCTATAGTAAACTAGACAAAATTTACTTTAAACGAAAGTGGAGTTTGTCGTTGTTAAAACTATTTAAAGAGGACTATTGTCGGAACAGATTCCGTTTTAAAAAAAAAAAGTTATTTGTATTTTTTTAACAACCTTTAACTGTTAGTCGCATTGCATCTAGCTTACTATGGAGCAATGTTTAGTAACTTAACTATTTTTATTTTTTATTTTATCACTTACTAGTCAACAAAAAACGTGACTCGCCTAAAAAAACACATATTTTAAATTTTATATTTTTCATCTGAAAATTGGGCAATTGTTTATATGCACATTTTTGTAGATCTTGATGTCTACTATCAAAAATTTTAATATTTCCCTCTGCTTACGGGATGCTCTGTACATTTAATTTTTTTTAAATAAATTTTTTGTTTGTTTTAATAATTTACAAAAATATACCCGAATTTTAATTTCCTTATCTATTTACTTAGACACAATTTTGAAAAAAAAATTAAACCCTTTGTCTTGAATTTTGATGCAATTCGCAGCGTTGCTAGACATGCTCACCCTGGTACCTTGGCTAACCATTTTTTTTTTTTTTTTTTTACCATTTTAGAAAACGGTTTTAGATATTCTCAATCGGAACATAAGCGATATTAGACATTCCGAAAAACGAAACTTTAATGAACTATTTAATCACGAATAAATAATATTAATGCAATAACTGACAAATATTGTGAAGATTTTACGAACTCATATATTACCAACGCCCAAGACAGAGATTTTTTCTGGCAGTTAGTTTTCACGGGAGAAAAATGTCACCCCTTTCCTGATATTACTACACCTGTTACGGGGTAGCCATTTGGCGCTAGGGTCATGACTAATTTGAGGGAGAAAAAAAAGTGGTCGTGGATAAACGATTTGCCAAAGTTGCATAGA